GTGTTGATATCTCCAACTGCTGGATTATTTATTTCTCCTTTAAATCCTACCAATTTTTGCTTCATGTATTTGGGGATCTGTTAGATAAATTTTTATATCTTGTTGAATTGACCTTTTTTAAATTTTAAGATGGGTTTATCTTTAACATTTTTGGATTTTTTATGGTATAGCTACTCCAGCTTTCTCACAGGTTGCTGTTAGTTTGATATGTATCCTTTTTCATCCTTCTGTATTCAGTATATTTGGATCTTTTAGCTTTCGTGTTTTTACTATGATGTGTCTGGATATGAATTTCTTTGTGTGTATTCTGCTTTGAGTATACTGAGCTCCCTGAGTGTGCAGATTGCTTTTCTTGGGAAATTTTCAGTCATAATTTTTTGAATATTTTTTCTGCTCCTTTCTTGCCTTCATTTTCCCTCTGGTACTCCTATTACAAAAATGTCTGTAATGATGTCCTACATTTCTCTGTGAATCTGTTCATTTTTCTTGGTGTAATCTGTTGATCTGACTTTAAGTTCAGTTATTCTCCTGTTCAAACCTACTGTTGAACCCCTCTAGTGAATTTTTCATTTTAGCTATTTTGCAATTCTAAAATTGCTACTCAGTTTTTAAAAATAGGTATTCCTAATATTGATAATACTAATGGTCATCATACTTTATTTCTTTATGCATGATATCCTTTCTTTCTTTGAACATATTTATAATACCTAATTTGAAGGCTTACCTGATAAGTGTGACACTTGGGCCCTCTCACAGGCAGATTCTGTTGCCTGCTTTTTTTTTTTTTTCCTTTGTATAGATCACACCTTCCTGTTTGGATGCATGTATTTACATTTTTTGGTTGTTGTTGAAAAATGCATATTTTGGATAATGTATTTTGTCAGTTCCAGTTACCTCCTACCTACCCTAGGCTTATTATTTTCCTGGCTACTAAAATAGACCAGCAAAGTCACAGTCTTATTCCTGTACAGGGCAAAACCTCTAAAGTCACTTCAGAGGGTGCAGTTCTAGACAAGTGTTGAGTCACCACGGAATGACAGTCGTTTTAGCAGGGTTCGCTTCATCTGTATTTCCCCGATCTCCGTTATACTGTCTGCCTTTGACGCCCAACTGATAAGCTCCATTCATTGCCTGCTGACTGCTCTTTTTTCGGAACAATGCCCAATACATAAAGTACCCTACAGTTTGATCCAAGTAAATTCTGGTCCCTTAGCCAGGGGTAGTTTGTAAAGCTGGTATTGGAGGTTTGCTCTGATTCTGGGGGTGGGTGGGTGGGTGATTCTTGTTAGCTGTCTCTTGTTCTGGTTGTCTCTGGTAAACTAGCTTCCCTATGGTTCAGCTTTTTGCTCTCATGAAGCTCTCACCTTCCTCTTAATTGCTTACCATGATCTCCGTTTCTTTTGAGAGCGTACTTACCCTTAAACTTCCTCACACTTCCAATTAAGCAAGTTCCCTTGGGGAGAGCTTAGTAGCTATTTCTTCTTAGAGGCTGTCTTTCTCCCTGTGAAAAATCACCATGCCACTGCTTTGGAGCTGTAGTTGGGCATGTTGTTTGAGTGACACCACTACTTCGTGAGCAGGGTGCTGCCTGGAGACATTAGACTCATCTTCTTTTTGTCTCTCCTGGCACAGAACCTCTGCCCTGTGTGTGACTGGGCCAAGCGTGATCGGGGCCCCAGTATTCCCTACCTACCATGCCTGGGGTGGGTCTTGCACTGTATTGGGTGGAGGCTATGTGGGTGAAGGGAGTCTACAACCTCTTGGCCATACTTGCTGGTAACTGAGCCTTTGTGACATGGAATTGAGTGGGATGGGAAATGCTGGCACTCTGCCCCTCCCACTGGGAGCTGGTGGGAGAGGGAACTCTTTCTTTTTGGCCATACCTACTCTGAGTGGAACTTAAGTCACATTGAGCTGGGTGTTGTGGAATGAAGGAAGAAAAACAGATGACGGTTCCAGTACCACAGACTCTGTTCTTTCCAAGGTTTAAGAGAGATTCTTAAATGTTAATTTATTGAATGCCCTTAGGACAATTTTCAAAGGCTTTAAATGGTGGTTTTTTAAAAAATGCTTTTCTCTAGTTGCAGAGAGTCTGCACAGCTCTTCATGGAGACATTTTGTATGTCTCATGTTCTTCTAAATTTTTATGTCATTGTCTGGCATAGAATTAACCATAAGTAGTTAGTTAATTATAATAGTAATTAGTTAGTAATAGAACTATATTTTTTTTCCTTAAAAAGCACTATGATGTATGTGCATGTGTGTTCCTTTCCTGTCTTCTAACCTCTGCTGATAGGTGCTAGGCTTGACAAGTCAGGCTTGCTCTTTTTTTTTTTTAATTGGAGTATAGTTGATTTACAATGTTGTGTTAGTTTCAGGTGTACACCAAAGTGAATCAGTTATACATATACATATATCCACTCTTTTTTAGATTCTTTTCCCATTATCGGCCATTACAGAGTACTGAGTATTGAGTAGAGTTCCCTGTGCTCTACAGTAGGTCCTTACTAGTTATCTATTTTATATACAGTAGTGTGTATATGTTAATCCCAACCTCCCAATTTATCCCTCCCCCCGGTAACCATAGGTTTGTTTTCTACATCTGTAACTCTATTTCTGTTTTGTAGATAAGTTCACTTGTACCCTTATTTTTAGATTCCACATATAAGTGATACCATCTGATATTTGTCTTTCTCTGTCTGACTTAACTTCACTCAGTATGACAATCTCTAGGTCCATCCATGTTGCTGCAAATGGCATTATTTCATTCTTTGTTATGGCTGAGTAATATTCCATTGTATATATGTGCCACATCTTATTTATCCATTCCTCTGTTGATGGACATTTAGGTTGCTTCCATGTTCTGGCTATTGTAAATAGTGCTACAATGAACATTGGGGTGCATGTATCTTTTTGAATTATGGTTTTCTGTGGATATATGCCCAGGAGTGGGATTGCTGGATCCCCTAATCAATGACAAAGGAGGCAAGGAGATACAATGGAGAAAAGACAGTCTCTTCAATAAGTGGTGCTGGGAAAACTGGACAGCTACATGTAAAAGAATGAAATTTGAACACTCCTTAACACCATACACAAAAATAAACTCAAAATGGATTAAAGACCTAAATGTAAGGCCAGCAACTGTAAAACTTTTTGAGGAAAACATAGGCAGAACACTCTATGACCTAAATCACAGCAAGATCCTTTTTGACTCACCCCCTAGAGAAATGGAAATAAAAACAAAAATAAACAAATGGGACCTAATGAAATTTAAAAGCTTTTGCACAGCAAAGGAAACCATAAAAAAGACGAAAAGACAACCTTTAGAATGGGAGAAAATATTTGCAAGTGAAGCAACTGACAAAGGATTAATCTCCAAAATATACAACTCATGCAGCTCAATATTAAAAAATCAAATAGACATTTCTCCAAAAAAGACATACAGGTGGCCAAAAGGCACATGAAAAATGCTCAACATTACTAATCATTAGAGAAATGCAAATAAAAACTATAATGAGGTATCACCTGGTATCACACTGGTCAGAGTGGCCATCATCAAAAAATCTACAAACAGGGCTTCCCTGGTGGCGCAGTGGTTGAGAGTCCACCTGCCAATGCAGGGGACACGGGTTCGTGCCCCGGTCCGGGAAGATCCCACATGCCGTGGAGTGGCTATGCCTGTGAGCCATGGACGCTGAGCCTGCGCGTCTGGAGCCTCTGCTCCGCAACAGGAGAGGCCGCAACAGTGAGAGGCCCGCGTACCCCCCCCCCCCCAAAAAAAAAAGAAAAAGAAACCTACAAACAATAATGCTGGAGTGGGTGCGGAGAAAAGGGAACCCTCCTGCACTGTTGGTGGGAATGTAAACTGGTATAGCCACTATGGAGAACAGTATGGGGGTTCCTTAAACAACTAAAACTAGAACTACCATACGGGCTTGCTCTTTATCTACCTTTCACCTACTTGGACTTTACTCCTTCCCTATCACCCCTGGCTGTCTCTTCACTTTTGCTATTATGCCTAGGCTCCAAATCTCTGCTTGAGTCACTGGAAATGGCTACACAATTTGTACAGCCTGCTTGGCTCTCACATTAGCTTTGATTTTCAGCCAGTCCCTTGGCTTTTGTAAACTAGTGTATGGACTGTCCTTCTCAGATGTTGGTCTCCTTGAGACCAAATTTGTTCTTAGGTATTAATGTTATATGCTGCAATTACATGAAAGATAGGACATATTATAGTCAATATAAGACAGCTGGGTTTAGGCCTACCCTAGGAAGTTTAAGGCTACTTCACCAAGGTAGCTGTCTGGTAATGACCTTCAAGACTATATTACAGTGAAACTTATTAAAGGTAAAGGGAAAAGCTGTCAGATAAGGTGTCTTTTTAAAGATTAGATGCATCTATTAATGAGACAGAGCTTTCATAGGAGCAATTGAAATCAATGGATATTAGCCTCATGGAGCGTTGCATCGATGCTATATTTGAATGGAGCTGTTTTTTTGCAGGAGTTAGAGCAAGACATATATTCATTGTCACTTGGCTGGTGGCTGAGCTCATTTTGGGGATCTTAAGGAATATGTCTTGTTCCTTAATGATGTAATGTGTACATTAAATACTTGAAGGCACACTAACAAGTAAATATTCACGTATAATCCGTTTCAGTTCTTTGACAGTAGTCTCCTTCCCATCTTCAGGGAATACTCAGTTGTATCTTAGCATCCTTTGTTCGTATTTGACTTCAGTGGCCTGTGATGAAGAGGATTTTGGATCCATAATGAAACATTATTTCTGTCTCTAATATATGGAACTGTAGTGGTATGAGATTGGTTTTTGACTGGAAATGATTTGATTTATGAACGAAATTAAGACTTGTTTAAGTATGTTCTCGAGGTAGCTTGTTGAAGGTGTAAGATCTGTTTCAAAACAAAGATACCGAGTTCAGAATTTGACTTTCAGATATTCTGAAATAACTTTGTCATTTGCCTCTCTGTTTATCCTTTAGGCTGCAGGAGCAATCCGACCTCTCGTATCTACTGTCATCAGTCCATCTGTAGATGGCTGCTTAGACCACTCACTGGAACGTGCGAGACACAGGGCAAGTGAAATGCCCCAGGCCTTTCTATTTGACGTGATCTATGAAGCATATCAGCAGGTAAGAATCTTCGCTTTTTGACAATCTGCTGTGTTGAGGGTCTCTAAGAACCACCCCCATATTTGGAGATTAGCTAGAAGAACTCAAGGAACTGAGTACATAGTTGGACTCAAGGCTAAAATTGATTAGAGTGACGTTGGATGATAAGAGAAAAAGACCCAGGCAGAGTCTGGAGGAATCCATGTGTAATCTTCCTCATGATCTCTCTCCTTCAGTGTCGCACAAAGGTATACCTTCCGTCCAGCAGTGAGAAGGCAGCAGTTTGGGTGTGATGTTTCTTTTCAGGGAAGCCCATTAGAGATTTGATGTCTAAGGTATTGTGTTGGTCACATAGATACCCTCTGCCTTGCACACAAACTTCAGACTCCCAGGAGAAAAGCCGGTGTTCAACATAAAGCATATTGTAAACCATATTGTTTATGTGAACATCTAGGCACAGTGAGCCACTCTTACCAGTTAACTGTTCACTGGAAACACTCCAAGAGCCAAGTTCCCAGACACTGGCCGAGGGCCCACCTGGTGAGCAGGTCTACTGCTCAGGCCTGCAATCTCAGGCCTAATGTAGTAAACATTTTGCACAGCTGTATAGATATTTTGTTAAAATTTTAAAGGTAAGTGATTTCAAAATATCAAATCATTCATGTTTAGATTATACTGGATTGTCTTTGTTTTCATGTTTTGGAAACATTTTTGTACCTGTAAATTTTACTGCTATTCATTTCTGTGTTTATTTATTAAACAGTTATTAAATATCAGGTAAAGTGCTTGTCAGAAACTTCCCAATGAAATAAGATCACTTACAACAACTAAGGCAGTGCTTGGCTGATGTTAGACAATCAGTAAATAGAGAAAGATGGACTTTAAAGAATATGAGATAATGGTAACATAAATATTGACATTTTATAATAAAAGAATACCGCATTTTGGATAGAAAGTTAATCACAATGAATCAATCTTGACTATCAGTTACTGTTTTAAATATTGAGAATGTAAATCGTAATCAGTTTTCATGGTATGAATAGTCGTCAGTGGTTTGTTTTGTTTTCTTAAAACTCGTTATACAGAAATTTACCTGTATTTGATCATTAATCAAATATTACCCTATCGATAATCCTATAAAGCCTAAATCTTTCTAATATTCTTTAAGATTAATGAAAGAATTTGTTCATCTTTATATAAGCTTTACATTAAGAAGAATGATAGCTCTGTCTTAGAAAATTTAATATAACCTTATGGTCCTCACACTAGAGTAGCATGTTTCAACGGTTTTTAGTAGAGAACTAAGCCCTAATACACTGAGGCAATAGTTGTCAAATTATGGTTCCCAGACCAGCAGCATAAGCATGTTTTGGAACTTGTTAAAATGCAAATTCTGCGCCTCCACCTCAGACTTAGTTACTTAGAAACTCTGGGAATAAGACCCATCCATTTGTGTCTTAACGAGCAAGCTGGCCACGTGATCCTGACTGACACTGAATTTTGGGAACCAACACCCTAAGGTATCCGTTGTATGTGATAAATTCTCTTCTGTTGTGTTCTTGGGAGAATAAGAACGTAGTCACACAAAAATAACTGTTCTGTGGTTCAGATGAGGAATTCTCAAGCCATTTTGGAGGTTTTGATACAAGTTCTTATGAGAATTATTTTTGATCATAAAGGCGTTCATAAGGAAATTTGTGTAAAAGATGTCTCTCATGTATATGATTTGTGTATATATATGTTTGCTTTTAACGAATAGAGAAGAGTAAGATATGACAGAGTTCCAAGGGTGGGAAGTTGTTCTCTATAGAGTGGTCAGAAGTACTCTGTGAAAAGGTAAAGTTTAAACCAACATCGGGAAGTAATTGAGGCGATAAGTCATGCAGGTAACTGACAGAACATTATTTTACACACAAGGACGCAGAATCTAAGAAGGTGGAGCAAGGCTGGAAGAGAATGACATCATGGGGGGAAGTAGGAGGTGTACCTGGGTCCAGTATCTTGTTGAGCCTTAAAGGCAATGTTATGGGCTTTAGATTTTACACTGAATGAGAAGGGAAGACTTTGGATGGTGCTGTGTGAAACCTCACTTCTGTGGGGTCACCTGTCAGTTGTGGGGATGGTACCTTACAGAAGGGAAAGAAGTAAGCTATAGTGATGATCAAGGCAAAGATGATGACAATTAGGGCAATTTGGATAGTAGAGTATTTGGTGTGAAGTGTTTGTTCTGAATATATTTAAAAATAAAATGAGGATAAGCCAATTGGTCTCGTATGGGATATCAGAATGGGAAGAATCATGGGTCCAAGAATTTGCTCTGAATAACTAGAATGTAGTTGCCCCTTTTTTTTCTTTTTTATTTATTTTTTTTGGAGTATAGTTGCTTTAAAATGTTGTGTTTCTACTGTACAGCAAAATGAATCAGCTATAAGTATACATATATCCCGTCTTTTTTGGATTTTCTTCCCATTTAGGTCACCACAGAGCATTAAGTAGAGTTCCCTATGCTATACAGTAGGTACTTATTAGTTATCTATTTTATACATAGTATCAATAGTGTATGTATGTCAATTCCAATCTCCCAATTGCAGTTGCCCTTTATTGGGATGGAGAATGCGAGAGGAAGAATTGGTTTGTGTGATGAGATCAAAAGTTTGGTTCCGAAAGACTAAGTTTGAGATTTCCTTTAGACATACTCAACTGTATCCCTTAACCTTTTTGACTATATGGAACTAGAATTCTGTGGAAAGATCCAGATAATGATAGGCACTTGAGAATTGCCATCATGCAAGGCATTTAATGCCTTGGAGTTAACTGACCTAACTAGAAAAACAGGTACAGAGAAAGTAAGAGCTACAAAGGCTGAACCCTGGGGCAAAGATTGAGTTTGTGAAGATGTATTAGTTTCCTATTACTGTTGAAACAAATTACCACAGACTTACAGAATTAAAAAAAAATACTTTAAAATTCTAGAGATCAGAAATCTAAAATCAAGGTGGTAGGGCTGTGTTTCTTGAGACTACAGGGGAGACTATCTCCTTGACTGTTCCAGTTTCTAGAGGCCACCTGCATTCCTTGGCTTCTGGCCTATCCCTCATACCATTACAAGCTCTTGATTTCAATGTCACATCTAATCCTAGTGATGACATCAGACCCATCTAGATAGTCCCAGTTAATCTCCCCATCACAAAATCTCTAATCTTACCTTCAAAGTCCCTTTGCCATCTAAACGACTTATTCAGATTCTGGGCATTAGGACATGGATATCTTGGGAAGGGGCATTATTCAGAAGAGGAGTGGCCAAAGAGTAAGAGGGTAATGTCCCAGAAGCCTAGTGAAGAAAGGGGCTCAGGAGTGATTGAGCAGTTGTTAAATGCTGCATAGTGGTTTAAAAAAAGGATCGAGAACTGACCATAATAAGCCTTAGCAGTGTGAGATCGCCAGTGTCGGGGTGGTGGTGGTGTTAGTTATGGAAACCTGGTTGCAATTGATTGACTAGAGAATAGGAGGGCCGCTTTTTATAGGAACTTCCATGCATATGGAGCAGAAAAATGGGGTGGCCGAAGGGGGTTCTAAACTGAGAAATTTTTTATTAAGGTGGATGGCATGACAACATATTGATAAAATGATGGAGTGATTTAGTAGAAAGGAAAAGACTGACACTGTATTGAGAGGGGATGGACAGTTCATCCACAGGGATAGCAGGAAAGGCCATATTTGGGTACAGATGTAGATTAGTAGATGTAGTGGGAAGATTTGTTGGAGTTTGTTGTCCGATTTTTATTAGTGATGCGGGGTGCAGATCATCAGCTGAGACACAGGGAGGGGGGAGGTATCTAGGCTTTAGGATAGAAAAGGATACCTCTAGTCCATAGTAAATACTGACTTGTATTGTTAAATTCTTACACTTAAGTTAAAAAGACACAAAATCATCCCAAAGAAAAAATCTATCTATTTTCCAGGGCTATTTTCTGGACATTTATGGGAAACTGAAATATTTGATCAAAAAAACTGCAAAACCATCAAATGGGTCAATCACTAATGTGGCCTTGAAATGTGGACTTGACATGTGAACTTTTTATATTTTATCAAGGTGTAACTTTGCTTTGTGGTACTCACGTAGAAAATACATAATAGTGTTGATCATTTACTGAGTTGAGCAGAAATCGGGCAGTTGTAAGTAAGTTCATATGAGATTGTATTATACATAGAAGAAACACATCTTAATCTGATCCAAAGCCATATGGCCTGGCCAAAAAGGTGGGTTTTTCTTGTTTTCTTTTTGTTGTTGTTTTTCCCGAGTTTGAGGTTATGGATGACTTCTCCTCATCAAATTGGGTGCTGGGCAGTTATAGATGTCAAGCTGCAGTTCTGTCTATGAATCTGCTGGATTGTTTCCCCCACCATTTCTTGTCTCATGTCATTCATCCTCTTGTTCTGTGTGCTCTAGTTATGCTTACTTTATTTTCTCAAATATAAGTTTGGTCCTTTCTGGAACTTTACTTCCTATCTTGCTGTATATCCTTTAGATAGTAAGTAAATTATCATTTAGGGAAGCCTTTACTGTCCACCCCCACCCCCACTAGGTTAGTCTAACCCACTACACATTTTCCTAGTGTCCTGTTTTTTCTGCCCAGCATCAAAATTAGAATGGAATGATTACTTGGGAAATCACTTACGAAATGTCCAGCTCCCCTGCTAGACCATGAGCCCTGTGAAAGTAGGCACGGTACCTGTCTTAGCAACTTGCCTGATATTTTATTAGTACCGAGTGCGTATTTGTTCAATGGATGAGCATCGAAGTGTATGCATATAAATATGAAAAATATCCAATGTACTGCTTCTTTTGGGCCACTTTTTCAAGATATTAACACTGTTTCCACTCTGCATTTAGGTCCCTATGCAAATGTCACCTTCTCAGAGAAGCTTTCCACTGATAACTTATATATAAAAATGTTCTCTGTCATGTATTGCTTAATTCTGCTTTTAGTTTCATTAGATATCACTAATGTGTTTTTGGT